GATGATGATGATGATTCGGATGATGATGATGATGATGAGGATGATGATGAGGAGGAGGAGGATGACAAAGAATTAGGGATACCATTATCTCAATTTCTTCCAGTACATACCTGACTCTTATTAAGCACTAGAAAGGTCTTTCATCCTTTCTGAGACTCACCAGCTTTCTGCTTCTGGCGAGCTTCAACGGAAATTACAACCTTCAATCAACTGGCCAAACCTCGCGGACCGCGAGCGGCTGGTCGGCATTGTGACTGGACTGCGGTTGGTCCACATATGACGTTACTCATTCTTCAATCTCCAAATTCCCATCAATCGGCTACTTGTTGACTGACTCATGGACTGACGAATTCTTGATTCTCTCCTAGCAGTACCTTGCCTATCACATTAGACGGAGTTGTGGCGATAAGACTCTATTCATACCTCGCTGGTTGTCAGTTGATTAAACCAACCTGGGTGCCTGATTTTCTGCACAAAATAGAGCAGGTAAATGGTTCTACGCCTAAAGAAACATCTACTATCCTTGTGACGGCAAGTAATCATAAGTTAATTTTCTTGTCGTATTGTCCCGACAACATATCATACTACTGATGGAGTTGTTGTGAGTAGTACATCATGGGAAAAATATACCACAAGATCTCAAATATCGTGCCCATGAGGAGGTCTGCGTGCAGCCCATTTAGTTAAAGAACATTATGAACGAAGCTTTCGGCTAAAACTCAGTTTAGTCACCTGTCAACACCAATGTAATTTGCAATTAGGATCACGTTGTGTGTATATCGTATATATGGTACTGCGACAAACTGATTCGTAGTACGATAAGATTAGAAACTCAGCACTGGATTCGCTTTCTGGTGGATTCAGTAAAGCGCTTCAAATCATTACATTGCTGACACGTTGGCTTCTTCCTACTTATTAAAAGTAAGTAGTAAATCTACTTACTTCTCGAATCGTATCTTGGATCATCAACAATTTAGTCAGGTCTGGAGAGGATCCTCATCTGAGGTTCTGGCCGCTGGCTGTAAAGATTGTACCCTCTTATATGAAATTCTTGAAATTCTTCTTCAAATTGCTCCAGAAGCGCGTGGTTCTGTTGCACTCCCGGGGTACGCTTGTCCGGGCACTCGTTTCCAGACAACAGGCCCAGTTCTTGACAAAGATTCTAGTCCTTGAAGCAAGTGGCTGATGAGTGGTTTGATTTGCTCCAGAAGTTTGATGATATTCTGACAAAAATTGGATCCCAAATTGTGCAGGAACCTAGTTCAACTTTGTCTTAAAGTTTCACCTTCCTTCCGTGTAAACGAGTTTTATATGGTGTTGGCTGCTTACCTTTTAAGCGTGAACACGTTCGGCTGTTCAGACTTAAAAAGCGTCCAACTTACGCTGACAGAGCTGTGGTAACGCTCTCACCTCGCATGTCAGATGACCAAAGTTCAAAACCCGGTATCGCTATGGGATATGCACCACTGATTCACTCCAATACGGGCGAAACTCGAGTCCTGTAATTCCCCCCTTTGATGTGGACTCACCAGAATAATTACACAAGAGGATGACTGTTCAAACGAGAGTGACGCCCTAAAAAAACACAATGAATCTTCGAGAGACGGTCCATAAGAGGGCCTCGCAATCCCCCAAGATTGGAGATCTCCCTCTTGGAAAGCACTGAGTTAGACTCCTGCTCACCATTTCTGTGGAACTTGGATGCAATTGATACAACCATTTACAGAGAAAAGGCTATTTTCGATAAAACCTTCACCAAACTTAGCCGGTAATATGTGGCAAAAAGAACATTACTTCCCGGTCTTGGAGAGCCTTGTACTTTTTACCATATATCTAATCCATGGTATGGAGAAAACCTCAAACTGACAAAAGTTCGAAAAGTCCGCAACATTCCCCACCCCCAGTGTATCGTCCTTGTCCTCTGAGTCACCAGGATTGGTATCCAAGCGGATTTGCGTGATCCAAGCCCTTCCACTAATTAACTGTTCTAATTTGCGTAGGACACTCCACGTGGCCAACCTACACCTTAGATTGAAGGGAGCTCGTAAACAATCGGTGTTAAACGTATTTCCCATGAGCTTTGCTCACACTATGTAGGTGTGAACAGGGGGGGTGGGTGAGAACATTTGCCAAGTGGTTATGGCGTGCAGCAATTAATCAGGAGTATAGGTTCCGCAGTATTTTTCTTTTCAAAACCATGTGCGTGCTGTCCGAGCCGGAGTTCATAACAAACCATTTAATCGTGGATCTCGCCGCTGTAAGGACTTTCTGAGGTTGGAATCAACCTTTTGCTAATTTTCGAGGCAAGAATAGGCATTGCTTGGTCAATTGACACAGTGATCTCCAGGATCATTTCGTCAACTTTAGCCAAAGTAGTGTTATCGGCTTTTATAAGGGAAACTACTCACAAGGTTGCTGAAAACCCTCCGAAAGCCAACGACCGGTTTCGCCCTTCCACTTCGGGCTCATCAGGTAGGCACACAGTCCCCGAGTTTCCGTCAACCTTATGATCTACTTGAACCAAAATGCACTGTTTTCCGGAAATACACTCATTTGTAAATCAATTTGGTTTTCACTCTCTCGTTTATGATATTATACAACTGATTGTGCTGCACACAGGCCGCCTCATGATTGGAACGATATTCGAGATATCGCAGTGTATTTTCGTAAACGAAACTACTCACAATGTTGCTGAAAACAGTCCACGACCGGTTTTGGCCTTCGTGGAACTCATTGGGCAGGCGCAGTCCCCGAGTTCCCGTCAACCGGACCAACTGAGGCGACCTGTGTGCAGCACATTTAGTTGTAGAATATCATAAACGAGAGATTCAGTTGAGTCTCTCGTGAAAAACAAAGTGTTATCGATGTTTTTGTGCCACCGTATGTACCAGGCGTCATTTTGGACGAAGCTTATGTGGATAGATAAGTCGAACCTCAGGTGAAAAGACTTTTTTTCCGAATCAAAGATTCACCGCACCAACTTTTGACATGTAGGTGACGCTTCAGTGAGTGTTCGTCGAAAGTCCCTCTCGTCCGCTTCAGACGCATCTGGAACAGTACAACGTAGCCCACACTGTTTACTGCAGTGTGGAATTTTGTTCCAAAAAAAGTTTCACAGACAACCGACACGACATCACCAGCTTGGAATGATGTTTCTAAACCGTCAACCTGAAAATCCGTCACTGGCGTCGAAAAGTGGCGACGGTGGAGAGTTTGTGGCCCAGTCCTAGCAGCGATGTGTTCGAGTCACACAAATCCCCAATAACTGAACAAGCGAGTTTTGTTTAAAATTATCGGCGTAATCTCATATTATAATATAGTCTTTCCTCCAACAGTCATGGGATTTTATGCAGTCCGGGCAAGTAAACCTCAGTACAAATGCTTCCTTTGGTTTCATGTTTAACCTCAAATTCAAACTGACCATCCCAGTTTCGCTTTATCGACCTTCGGTAACAAGTTCAACTCCTTCGTTCAAAGACTGTTTTGGGCGGACTCCACGGACCTTCTGTGATCTTTTTACCAGCCAACTCAGATTTGCTCGCACTACTAACAAGCTATCAGTAGTCGATTGGAAGTAAACCAAGACAGCCTTCAGATGATGCCCTGATTGAGTATCCTTAATAAACAAAGCCTTAGACTGCGCAGAACTTCTAAGGTGCTCGGCGTTCATGTCCCCATTCAGGATGAAACCTCTCCCTACACTACTCAAACGTTGGTTGACCTCACCCCTTTCCTTCCGTATACTCGAATGAAGAGGCTGAATTCTTTAGATTAGCACGCAATATAAAGAAACCATTCGAATGGCTACATTACGTCAGTCACCACTTCCCTGGAAATATGTACACAGCTCTGAAAACTAGAACGATAGACGTCAGGGGGGAACGCTACGCACGACTGTTTTTTTTTTGTGCTGAGAGAAGAAAAGATTGAAACGATGAACCATTGGCCTAGGGCGAGAAACATTGCTGATGAAGGTTTATCAGAACGGAGGAGAATACTCTACGTAGTCCACTGGAAATATAAACAATTTGTCGATGGTGTCTTTACTCCTGAAGTACTGGATACTGGTTGGCAGTTGATCGCGTTAACCGCTGTAGTCAGTTGTCCTCTTCCGTTTGAGTTAAGTTGACAGACTTGCCCTTGAAGAGGACGTGATCAGTCCGACTTGACCATGAAGATAGGAGCCCATGGCATAGTGTGTAGCTTGTTGAGGAGAGGATGAAAGCATGTTTAGCGTGACTGTATTTGGACTGAGTGGGGGAAGGGGGGTCGCTGCCAAAGGAGGCGCATTGAAGAGAGGAACATTGTTCAAAGTGGAGAAACCAACGGAGGAAGGAGTGGCGTTCGGGCAGGGCAGGCTATCCAGGCTAGTGACTTCAATGCGACTTGACGGTGCGACTGGCAAGCTTGGTTGAAGCTGAGACGTGAGTGATGAAAAGAGGACATTGTCACAAGACATTGATTGCGGTGGCAATGGGGGCGCTTTCGGGAACTCGTTGTTACTGAAGCACACTGGAGTTGGAAGGATGCTACCACCAGGAATGTGAACCGTCGGGCTGTCGGTGGTATCGAAATTAGAGACCTAAAGAAAAAAGAGGAGAAAGTACATACAGCGAATCAATTCGCCCCCAACCGAAACACCATCCGAACAACAGCTGTTCCATTTACGAAAAATGAATTAAGCATACCGTAGTATGCACAGTGAAAGGGCGATTTATTGGGTGTGATCATCCGTTAATTACATCCATCAGACGGTTTATCCTTCAGTCTATTCTGCAACAATTATATTGCTTTCGGGGTCACTCACGGGAAGTTTTCAACCGTTTTCAGATGTCACCCTACTCGCTCATCCTAAACGAACTCGAGTTGTATAGAGCACTTGGCCACCCACCGGCAAATGACTGATGATGTGCACGAACTCACTGATGGTCCGAACTAGGCGCGTGAATGCCACACCATGGTGGTAGTTGATTAAAACAAATGCACTTAACAGTTCCACGTACATTACAGCCCTGTGTCAGACGCAGTGACTAACATAATGTGTACTAATGCTCATAAGTGGGTGAATAGAAAGGCAGAACTGTCATTCCTTCACACCTATGGGGAAACAGTTCCATCAATCACCATTGTTTTGTGTTGACAGTCACACTGGCATAAAACCGGTCGTTGATGAGCCGATGGCTGAGTGCTTTGTTGATGGGTACTTTATCAGCAAAAATAAACACTATCGCATTTTGATAACTAAGCAGATCGGGTCGTAATTTGTGACCGTTTGTTGGTAACCGTCCCATAGAATTGAAAGAACGATCTCTCCAGATAGTGACTCCCCTAAATAGTCTCTTGCCTTGTCTTGGTAGTAGGAAATTGAACCATGGGAGTGATGGGCAAAATTACATCTCTCCCCCCAAAAATGAGGTAGGCGGCTCCTGGCAAAATTGATCCCACTACCCCTGAACAAGGCTCACCATTTTACAAAGTAGGAAAAGAGAACATTGTGGTAATCTATTCCCGTTTGGTATGGTGAGCCAGGAAGTTCAAAGGGTAACTTTAGCTTAACTGACAAACCTCGGCGCGCTATCCCGGTATTATCAATCTAGTTTAAAAACTGTACAACTCGTGTGTATACTGGAGACTCGTTTGCTTGATGAAAGCTCACTTAGCTGAGCGGAAATCCCGCCTTTTCGATCCTTGCATTAGAAACAACATGTCGTTGCCCCTCGAATGTGAACTAAAAATCGTTTGCTTCAGTTAAAAATGACACCGCGGAACAGCGCTTTGCTAAAGTGGAGTCTCTAAAATGTATAAAATTCGCTTCCACTTTGCACATCCTCAGACCATGCTATTCTACCCCACAGAGTAGCTCACCAACTCGTGCCCGTTTTTGACCTGATGTCCGTTGAAATGAATCTGGCTGTTATCGACCCACATTGAGACCGCCTACGAAGAAACCTGAATCGACGAGCGCAAATCGATAATTCAAGAGTGGAAAAATACTCAGATGTCGATGACTCGAGCTCGTTTCACCCGCTTTAGAAGCTTGACTGATTGGCCATGAGTTGAAAACCAATCACATTCCATTACGGAGTATCTCACGGATTGATTGTCCGATTAATCCACTGGCTTAACAGCAGTTCAGTGGTCACGAGAAACTCGGGTTCTAATCGATTTCCTTGAATAGAACATTAGGTCTCAAAAGAGACGACATCAAACAAGCCTCAGCATAATAGTCACTTGATGAGTGGGTCCTCCACGTGTGAAATCATCATTCAAGCAGCTAGTCACCACGTGCGGCTGATAGATATGGTTTTTCTGATCAAAGGACGAGCGGCGCCATATCCTGTCCAGGTGCAAATTAGTCGCACTGCTGGTTTATTATTTGAGGCTGAAAGGTTATCGAAGAACTAACCTGGTGAATGCCGGTTCGGACGTTCCTATTGTAGCCTCGTGAGGTGCGCAATCTGATGACTCCCAATGGGGATGAAACAGATGAACAGTGCCTCTCGGGTTTCCAGTTCAACATAGATTGGCTTTACTTGCTGGACTATATATA